CTTGGCCTAGTATTTTGATATGTCTATGATCTAAACTCAATCCTGAGCTAAGTTGTAGGACCTCCTGCTGAACTGACACAAACATGTTTTGGTAGTTTTTTTTTTTTTTCAGCTTAGGTGAACTGTTGATCAAATCCTTCTTAATGAAAATGTTTGTTTTGTTGGACTTTAATAATCAGAATGGATTACCAAAACTCAGTGTGGTGAGTTTCTTGTCTGTTTGTTTCTATTGTTTTAGAACTGATTGTACTGGTCTTTTAATGTGCTGTGTCTGTCACAGGACAACAGTCTGAGCAACATGACGTCACATTGAACGGAACTAATCAAACACAGCACTGATGTTGTGTTCCTAGTGAAGCTGTGTAAAACAGCTGACAGCAGTCAGTGCACAGTTTGGCTATTTTTAATTTATTTAATTTATTTATTTTTACAGGTTAAATTTTGTGGTCTGTTTTGACACAGAGCTCTGTAAAGTCACTAATCATTGATTGTATGCTTTTCTTTTTGTCTGTTATGATGATTAAGCTTATCAACTGAAAATGCAACAAAAATTTGACTTACAATTCTAACCAGTGTTAATGTCAAAATAATAATATAAATCAGATGTTTGTAATATTGTAATATTTACAGAAACATCAGCAAACCTGCTGTTTTTTCCCCTGACAGCTGTGTGTGACGTAGCTGGTGTGTATTTATTTGCGTACAGAGCGGCTAATTGACATCTGTTCACAAAAGTGTTTGTAGGGTGCGCATTAACCACCAGGTGTGAACACTCAGTCAGAGCTGACCACTTGCATTTGGATCACCCAAAACAGATCTAAATTACAGGGTCTTAACAGACCCTATATGACTGTGTTGGAACACTTTTAACAGTTTAAACACACTTTTTGTTAATAAATAGGACCAAGGACAACAAATTAATATTTTGAAACTGTCATTTTTTTCTCACTTTAAAATGCCCCATCATGTACATATACTGAAGTCGTAAAGTTTTGTTGTGAAAATGACACTGTACATTGATAGATTTACTGCTCATTTGAAGTTACTCTAACTTTTCTGCTTGCTCAAATGTTTGCACAGTTGCTTATTGGATTTTTAAATCCATCATTGTGCTCATTTTGTGCGCTGGCACACTGCTTGTGTTTACCCTAATTTGGCTCTATACAATGTGTGTAGTGTTGAATATTCATACAGGCTGATGTGCTGACTAAATAGACCCTGGAATCCATTGCATACTTGACCACATAGCAGATGGTTGCATACATTATCCCCATTACTTTATTATGCCTGACAGATGCTTGAGAAAGCATATGGTGAACGTCAACATTAATGTCACCTGTAGGAACTAGCGTAGTCACAGTGGGCTCCACAATCACTGCTCACCACCGAGTGGTGGTCTTCCCTTTATAAGTGAATATGATGTACCATTCGCGTATTCAGAGTTTGTTCTAAAGTTTGGGAAGTGATGCGTCATTTGGATGAAAATACCAATGAACTCTGTTCCCTTAAGTTCCAACTTATTAAAAAATTACCCCAGAGCATCTAGTTTTTATTAAATAAAAAGCTTTGTGACCTTTTTCTGTTTTTCCCTTCCAGGTAGTGTTTTAGCTTTTATTTTACATTTATGTATTTTATAAAAAAATAAAATAAAAAAAATACATAATAGTTATTTTTTAACCCTTTCAAAGTATCTTGTTATTTATGAAATTAATGGTATATTGATTATGTTTTTGTGGGTCCTGAAATTGTGTGTCTTTGCCCATTTTTCCAACTTATACTACATTGTGAGGACCAACTGCTTCTTATGGGGCCCAAAGCTTGGGCCTCATAAGAAGAAGTGCCATTGGTGGGTTAGGGGTTAGGTTTAGGACTAAGGTGTGAATTGAGGATGGGTTAGGTATGTAATAGTAATGGTTAGGTTTAGGGTAAGGGTCAGGGTTAGGCTATAGAAATTAATGAAAAATTAATAGAAGTGAATCCAAAGTCCCTGTAAAAATAGAAACACAAACTTATATATGTATGTGTGTGTGTGTGTGTGTGTCAGAGTCAGAGTTTCTTCATTTGTCATACACACCACATGTGGTACATGTGGTGGAACGAAATTGTGCACACAGTGTCCCAGTTACATCCAAGAAAAGTATTAATATGTAAAAGAAAAACAATAAGAAGATCTAAGATATGAGCTAAGAAAAATGTTAACTAAAAATGCCTTAAGCACTAGTAGTACAAAACAATATGCTGAACAGCAGCACAAACATGAGTCTGTGTGAGTAGATGAGTACGAATGAACACAGTAACATGAAACAGATCAGAAGTAACATGATGGGATTTTTTCACAGTGATTATTCTAGTTAGAGATTCATGAGTCTAACAGCCTCAGGGTAGAAGCTGTTCCTCAGTGTAGTGGTTCTACACTCAATGCTCCTTAACCTCCTTCCTGAGAGGAGCAGGGCAAAAAGTGTGTGTGCTGGATGAGTGGGGTCCTTCATGATGCAGGTGGTCCTCTTCCTGCATCTCGAGGTGTAGATGTCTGTGATGGTGGGGAGGCTGACTCCAACAGTGTGCGTGCGTGTGTGTATGCCAATACTATTTTTTATCAGAGTGCAGTGTTGGCTACACCATCAGCTTTTATGAATGCAGCAATTTTTTTTGTTTATTATAATTGCCTCCTGTCAGCTTTTATTACTTTACAACTATTCATGTAGATGTCCTAGTTGTAGGTGCAGATTCTGTAAGGAGTGGTTTTTGTATCTGTTGTGTCAGAATGAAGGTGTCAGTTTCTCTTTATCCTTCTTTCTTAACATCAGTTATTTTCAGCGATGTCTCATTTCTTTCTTAACTCGCGTCTTTGTGAACATTTTGACTAAAGTAAGTTGAAAGTTGTAGGTATTAAGCTCTGTTGGACCTCTATCTGATAACTTGAAATTGTTTTATTGTACATGTTTAAGTGCATTTCAATGTTTAGACTTTTTTTTTTTTTATTTTTTTATTATTTAGGTCACTTCTTACTGCTAATTTGATTAAAATGTATATCCTCTCTATGTTCCGTATTTCTAAAGTGGCCCTTACTTTACTCTTTTTTTTGGTGTTTTTCAGTATTTCCCCTTATTCATTGCACTTGTTTAAGGGACTAAAATAAAATGTTTATTTTTAGCCTGGCAAATTTCTGTAATGACTTGACAAGTTCACTAAAGCTGTGTTTCCTCATCTCCAACACCAGTTTTTACATGTGAGCATTTTAAGTGCACTCTCTGTACAGTATATAACATCACATATTATTTTTGAGCAACAACTCTCTGAGAATCCACTTGTGATTATTACACAACTGATGGTTCAAGAGTGAATTGACATTTACTGTAGAGCCGTAGTACCACAATGGTCTTAGACTGGTGCATAGAAGTCACGTTTCTGCACACCATCATCCCACGTGTAACTGTGTACGGCATTTTACATCTCGATGCATTACTAGATTCCTACAAAATGTTTTTAGTGATTTGTGGTTGTTTTTTAGGCTACTCTTGATTGAGTGTATGGCCTTTTTATAATGATGAACTGTCCTATATGGTGGCCCTGAGGTTTAAACAAACATTTGAATAAACAGAATTACATTTCAAAACACACAATTACATGAAGCCAAACCGGAAGTGGCCCTCCTCAGGTCAACATTTGCACAAACAATTTGGCATATTATACAGATAAAATTTACATTTTAGAAACATTTGGAACAGAGAAGTAGCAAAACATATGAAAAAATAAAAAAAGATATTTAACTGAAATTTGTAATTTCCTTTTTTGAAATGTAATTCTGCACCCCCTCTCACCAATTCCAGTCTGGCCACTTCCATTTTTTGGCCACTTTCCAGTTTGGCTTAATTATTATTTTTTTTTTTTTTATGTAATTCCGCACCCCCTCATTACTTCCGGGTTTTCACTATTTCCAGTTGGTCACCACTTTTGGTTTGGCCATTTCCTGTTTGGCTTAATGTAATTTTGTTTTTTTGAAATGTAATTCTGCCCCCCTCACCACTTCCGGTTTGGCCACTTCCAGTTTTCCACCATGTCCGTTTTTTCCACCACTTTCGGTTTGGCCACTTTCTGTTTGGCTTTATGTAATTCCGTTTTTTTTTTTTTGTGTGTGTTTTTCAAATGTAATTTCATTTTCTGAAATGTAATTCCATTTTTTTCAAATGTTGTTCATTTAAACTTCAGGGCCTCTGTAGTCCTAACTGCTTGTGGTATGATTTAACAAGAGACTCCTGTCTTCTTGAGTTTTCTATTTGTTATTGTTGTTAATCCTATTTGAATTTTGCATTATAACTAATCACCTTTGAGTCTGTACTTTTGTGAGTCTTTGTAGTGTCAGGATGTGTTTAAATACTTCACAGATATTCGACTCAGAGTACATCCATGTCCCATCCAGCACTAATCTGCGGGCCTTCACTCTGTGTTAACATTAATTTAGGCAACAGACCTCTAAAGGAAAGACGGAGACAAAGCAGAAGAAATTAAAAAGCCAGGATAATGATCTTAGAGCATGCTTAATAATTTAAATGCACTTCTTTTTAAAGGGTTCTCACAACCTCTTTTCATTTTAGCAGCAAAAGAGCCACTTGAACTTTCTTCTCAGCTTGTGAAGCCGTTGCTGCAAATGTTCATTTGTTGCATCACTTTCTTGTTTGTTCTAAACTGATTAAAAACTTCACACGGCAGTATTTTTTTTTCCCACCATTTATTTTTCTGAAAACTGCCCATGATTTTCCATGTTTAATATATTTATTCAAATTTTAAAATTTACATTTTAATAAAGCTTTTTTTAATTTACAAAAAAAAAAAAAAAACAGTAAGAAGAATGACAATTCAGGGGTTACCAAAACATTTTAAACTTTTTTTTTTTAAAGCATTTTTTTTTTTATGTACTTCACTCCATTTTTGTCAAACAATTAAAACACTTTTTTCAAGCTTGCAACGTTCATTGTGTGATGTTCAAATGTTTGTTTCAGAGTTGAGCTCCGAGAATCTCCGTACCTGTTTTCAGATTGTTAATGCCTACATTTACCTGTCTGCCTCCGAATTCCTGCAGGTGAGAGTTACACACTCATATTCTATTGCAGGTTTAATTGTTCCATACTTTTAATTTCATTAATATTTTTACAGAATTATGGTGAATCATTGTGTCGATCCTTTTGTGATCTGCTAAAGGACATCACAAATGAAGGGCAGGTCCAAGTCCTTAAGGTACTCAACCTCCTGACCACTTTCAAGTCAAATCAAACTCTTTATGGAGTACAACATTGCAAATAACTTGATTTCATCTTTTTATTTTCAAGGACTAATTCCCATTTTTTTCTTTTTAAGTTCCACTTCTGTGACTTGCTTGTTTTGTCTGTCCAGATGAAGAGGGGGTGCTCAGATAAAAAGCAACAATATGCGGAACACACAGTCAGCACTGCCTCTGACCTAAGCTGTCAAGAGCAGCCTTGATATTTCAGAAGTGTTACACATAGGGTACATCAAAGAGCTCTTCCTTTATCTGAGAAAATCTGAGGAGACATCAGCAAGGCTGTTTACAGTAAACATTTTAAACTTTAGAAATTAACTTTCAGAATAACCAGATTTTTAAAAATGTGTTTCTCTTTAATTTCTTATAAGATTGAAATAAAAAAAACTTCTTTATTCCTGGTTCAATGCAGATACGTTATCAAATCACACACTCGTGGTGGGATCACATTAGACCCGGCCCCAGCCTGTAGCCATCATTTCCGAACCCCACCCGACCCGATGAATTAACAGTAATTACAGGTCCGAACCCGAAAAAACTCCCGACATTTTTAATTAAACTTTGACTCCTTATATAGTTATTAACGGTGGGCGGACACGTGCGGCTGAGTAAGGGGGCAGAAGATCGGAGCTGAGGGGGTGGTTGTCCTTTCATGACCATCGAAATGCATTAAATCACTGCTTCTGCTTGCATTCTGCATAATTCAGACACGGACCCTGCTCTGACATGTCAGATATTTTGGGATCTCACCTGTTTGGGTCATCTGCCGCTCACGTCCGCTGAGTACAGCGACTGAATGAACGTCATTTGGGCTTTGATGGATCACTACCTGGCACTGCTGGCAGTAGTCCCATCTGAAGCTTAACTGAACTTATTTTTACGTCTTTCAAGGCCGGTCAGCGTGCAGTCAAATGGCCACGTGCAGCTGGTGAATGTTTGGCAAGATATGTTGCCATATAATTGGATCGTCAGCCGTGCGTGTCCGCTGACACAATCAAAAGCCAGACACCAGCCCAGCCCACACATACAGTAAGCACATTATTATGGCCCGGCCCAGCCCTAATCTGGGTCGGGCCGGGCTCCGGGTTCGGGTTAGGAATGACAGCTGTAGATCACATTGTATTTTGCATATCTTAAACACATTAGTCAAAATATGATCATGAGTTTTGCAGTAAATAGTGTTTCTGCAGCCCTTAGAGCTGTGAGCTGTCAGGAAGTGTGACCACAACATGACTAACAAAAATACAGGTTTTTTTTTTGTAGAAATGTCCTATTTCTTTTTATAATTGAGGTGTTTTTATTTATTTTATTGTAATTTGCTCTATAATTTGAAGACTAATATTACTAATTGCACTAATATTATGAACCATTTAAATGTATGAAAAAGAGATTATATACTTTTTTTTTTCTTTTTGATATAGAATAAAACAGTTGAATAAGTATCCTCTTAGACTGGTGATCCAATATTTGTCTTTTTGTATCCTATGTGCTGTTTGAAAAGCTCAACTGTGCGCTTTAGGCAACTTTAAGCCTGCTGGCGTTCTTGAACATCTGGCTTCAGCTAATTCTTTAGTCTGGGGACAGGAGAGCCAGTAAATGATACTGTCTACATAGCACATGGGCACCCTGACAACAGAAGGATCAGAGTAATTAGTATGCATTTCTTTGACGAATTGATATAAATGGCTGGTTGTTCAACCAATCACTGGGACCAGACTTTAAAATGTCCCATTGATACTTATCTCTTTCGGCATACAGGACTGAAACCACCTTATATATTATTTGTTTGTTACATTTTATTTTAGTATCATTTGAAACTTGGACTATCAAAGATTATTAACTTGGATCTTGTAGCCCCATTGATGTTGCCAGCCTCTGAGCCAAGATTGCAGCACTGAGCTTTGGGAGTTGGTACCAACTGAGAAAAAGCCTTTCATCTATGGTACTCTGTCACAGTATTGTGTTCATGTCATCATGATTTACAGTGTGGTCTAATCTTGGATAAACTGGATAAGATATTTTTGGTTTCTGGTCATCTGGCACGTAGACAGATGGAGTCATAGGTTTGTTGCAACAGTGCTGAAATATGACCACTGACATAAAATTATTTAGTTTTTTTTATACAAGGAAAGGCCCGGGGGTTCTTCTTAAAGTATTTAGCTGGATTTTAGACTCACTTTGACTTTATGTTTAACAGAGCACATAAAACGTGCATGTAAAACGAAAATGGCCAGTCATGCTTCCAACTTAATGTAGGTGAGATTTTTAATAAATGCCCAATGTTCTGGTAAAATTTACTTTATTTAAACTGTCCAGTGATTGACCTTTGTGCTTGTTTCTCCTGTCTCTTTCTCTTTGCTATATTTCATGAGTGTCCTCCCTCCTCCATCTCCTTGTGTCTCTGCAGGTGGTTGAAATAGCTTTAAAGGTTAGCCCCATACTGGGAGCTCACATGTTTCAGCCCCTTCTGCCAGCTGTCCTCCGAGGCATAGTGGACGGTGAGGTGAGCGTTACCTCTTGCACACATGAATCAGAGTTATATCCAGTAAGAAAAACAAATCAGTTGGGTAACTTTACTTTGTATATGTGGTGCATAGTATTACATTTTAACCATACTTGAGAGTTTCCTTAGTCTGGTTTAACCATGCACTGTTCTGCTTTGTACTTTTCTGAAGTAAGTTAAATGTAAAGTGGCATAATCACTCAGAGAAGTTAGAGGGCATAGGCGACCTTTGTAGGATTTTGCTGTGTCAAAAGCCCTATTTCATGTTTCCTTATCAAACTTAATGACCTGTTATTTTGAAGGGTTATGCAAAACCAAACGGTTTGTATATCAGATTGTGTGATTGTGTTGTACAGCGATATCCTGTGGTGATGTCCACCTACCTTGGCATCATGGGTCGAGTGCTGCTCCAGAATTCCAGCTTCTTCTCCTCTCTGCTCACACAAATGGCTCCTGAATGCAACCAGGAGGTGAGGCTTGATGTGCGCCCTTCATTTCTGTCGCCTCAGCACCAATTTCTTTGCATGTCTCCGAGAGACAAAGTGGCTGTTAAAAAGGAGTCATTCTGATCGAGGCTGAAAGTAATGAGCCAGAGAGTTACAAAGGGGGAACATTTTCAGGCCTTTAAATCTTGACTCTGCCTCCTCCACTCTGAAAATCAGATGTTGCCATCTTTACTTTACTTGATCTTAGAAAGCATCACTGCTTACTGTAATTTGCCCATTGCGACGTTAGTCTCAAACATAAAGATGTGTATCATAGTAAGATTGTTTTATAAAATACAAAACAGGAAGTACAATGAAAAGCATAAAATTCTATTTTTGCTGACTTTTTTAACCCAATAGAAACATATTTCAAGAGATTAAAAAAATAATTCATGAACATACCATAAAGTGAGTGCGCTTTTTGCTGATTCTTTGTTTCCTTGTGTTTCAAAACGTTTTTTTTTCTCTTTCTTGTCTTTTTTCTTTTTCACTTTTCTATTAATAAATTACTATGCAGCGCCTGTACTATAGATAGAGAACTAAAATACAAACAGAAAAAAATCAGGAAGGACAGAAAATACCAAAGTAAATCAACTTAAAATTCATACACAAATTCACAAAGAGGCAAAACCAGGCAAAGCAGTTAAAAGATCAAACTAAATGTGAACAAAAGAATTTGAGAGAGTAAAAAGAGAAGCAGAATCGAAAAAATATGCATAAAGCAAACAAATAATTCATTCCCTCTTCAGATGGACCAGTTATTGGGCAGTGTGATAGAGATGTGGGTCGACCGCATGGACAACATCACTCAGCCCGAGAGGAGGAAGCTGTCGTCTTTGGCTCTGCTTTCACTGCTGCCATCTGACAACAGGTAAGAAACATACATCATTCATTTACTGATCATTTTACTCTCATCCACACATTTAGGATGTAGTTTGAAATAGACGGCATGTTGTATTAAATTAGTATGAGCTGCACAAAATCACCAGCTTAACCAGCTTTACTGTTTGGACTACACAGATTGTAGGTTTCCAAACATCCTTTATTTGGAGTTTATGGGAGTGAAAGTCTGTTTTCAAAATAATTTCAACCCAACACACTCTCAACTCAGTGCGAGTTTAAAATTTGTCCAATTTACCACCTTTCTTTGAATTTTAATACCCCCGGCTTTACTAAGTGAGATGAAAAATGCAAATGCGTAATGGGGGTCACAAGTCTCAAGTGTGCAGGATTATTGTGCTATGAGTCAACACCATCTGGGTAACATCTTTCACTCATCAATAAAGAGCAAACAGAGAAATTATCACAAACACTCCGAAGTCAAGCCCTCTTATACCAGAACTTATTGTGACGAGTGTTAACTGTGGTACTAGAACATTTCCACAAAAACAGCTAACATCGATTCACATCATAACACTCAAAACAATGCTTTGAGTGAAAGCAGAGGTTGAGTATGGATTGGCATGGATTAAAGTTCTTCGTCACGGCAATGGATTTCCATCATTTTGAACTTGGCCAGAACGGATTTCCGTCATCTGTAAAAATGAAGAGGAGGAAAAAAAAAAAAGTGTGTTCTGTTGTGGTCTTCTTGTTAAAGCCATCCAATCGGATAATACAGGAATTAAACTGACACTGCTTTCAACTAATAAAGAGAACCACTTTCAGAGTTTGACCCATTCAGAGCAGAGCAGGGCGGGTTGTGCTGTCTGGTTCTCAGTGAGCCTGGGTGTGAGCAGCAGAGAGAAGCTGCAGGTGAAAGTCCACCTGCATCAAGCCAAGGAGGAGACCCTGCTACCCTAACAGAACCACTCACCCCATCTTGACACGGATGAGGATGTAATAAATTATTAAATGTGTCCGAATTAAACATGTGTTGGAACGTGACCCATTCACTTCAGATATTGGAGACACCGGAACTGATACACTGGTACCCCCACCCCCTCCTTCCGCACGGATCCCTGACCTCCTCGGGACTTTTATATCTAAAATCTAACTTTGAATTAAATGTTAATGTGTTCGAAGTGTCGTCATCATTGTACCGACATGTGCAAACTGCGCCCTTGACCGAACTCTTGAGTCAGAGAGAGAGAGAAGCGCGCTCATTCTGTTGAGTTTCTCTCATGGTGAGAGGCTGTTTCTGCTGCTTTAGTTTATCTAAATAAGTATTAAGTCTAAAAGACAAAATTTTATGCCCCATATTATATCAGAGATGTGTGTTTCCATTTAACTTAAAATTTACCCCCAAATTCACCAAGTTCTCTTTGTGAGAGTCAGTTTCAGGTGTTTGTAGGTTATCATAAATATCTGAAAAATTCTATTCTCCGCAGCGTTTCAGCAACAACAAGGTGTTGTGGCTGTTTGGATGAGCTAAACTTGATTATGTTTAGAACCGTGCTGTGCAGTAACTGTACTGTGATAAATGCACTTTAAGAAATTATCATATCCATCCATCCATCCATTATCTTTTATTCGCTTCTTCCATTTTGGGTCACGGGGGTCGCCGGTGCCCATGTCCAGCAATCACTGTGCGAGGGGCGGGGTACACCCTGGATGGGTCGCGTGTCCATCACAGGGCCGAAATGATCAAATATGAAAAATAAATATTATTAAATAAGTACACAAGCTTAAATCCTGTAAATATCCCTTTGAATGAAATAATCATTTTATTTACACTATACTGTGTACTTTTACTAAGGTCATGTACACAGTATACTCCTCTTTACATGTAAACTTTTGAGAATTGACCTGTTTTCAGTAAAAAGCTCTCAAATGAGTCATATAGGTGTGCAGAAAAAACTTCAGTCAAAATATTTTTTTCTGCTTTATTCCATGCATTGGGTACCTATGTACTACTGTGCATTGATCGCAAAGGTTTTATATAACTCATTAGTTGAATGTTCAAAAGAGTGCAAGTGTGGTGTGAATTCCAGTGTTTGCTGAAGCTGAGCTGCATCAAAATTGACTACTGCTGAATAATAAAGTACAAATATGATACTTTTGTGTTTAAATATTCAAATATCAGTACATTATAGGCATATATCTAAGATTGTAGTCGTGCTACACTAAAAAAAAAAAACATTTATGAGGTTATACTTGAGATCTACCTCAAATCAAATTTAGTGTAAAACGTATGAAAAGTTTTAAAATGAATCTCTGTGGTGTTTAAAGACCAACTTTTTGTTTGATGTCTTGTCTGATAGTATAATATTTCCTTTTTTATCCAGATTTAGGAAAGCTCAGCATTCTGCAGTCCAGATATGGCAATTTTAGACACAGACAGGCGTAAAATCCTTTGTTACGCCCCCGTCCTTGGTCTGTAACAATAATTGATTATGACAGCTTAGACTGGTTAAATGCTGCGTGGCAAATTAACTATCACATATACAGCCACAACTAAAATTGAAGAGGTCCATATCTTGTCTGCAGCTGCCCTTATAATCATGTTGTATTTATTTATCTTTCCATTTGGCCCCACTTGAGTTTAATCGGTGATGACTGCATTTAAATTAATGGTAAATAATCGCAGTTTAATTTCCTTTTTCTGTTACGCTAGTGTAAGTTAATTCATCATTATCTTAGCGAAAAGTATTATTTCTGGACAATAGATAGTTGAAAACTTTTTTAATTAAAAATCACAATGTTAATGATTGCCTTTCTGTAGTATGACCTATATGCTGTGATGAAACTGCAGTCGAATCAGATTTTCGTTGGTGAAATCAAACCCTTAGCTGAGTGTCCATGTTGTTGTCTGAAAAGAATCTGGTTGCGTTTTTGTGTCACTATATCAGCAGAATTATACGTGATTTTCTGTCCGAACAATTTAGACACAGTGTGTTGGCAGCTTTACACCAGATACATTTCTCATGCATTGCTGAATTGATGCATTATTGTTAGCTTTATTTATACACCACATAGTCTGTAAGTATGCTGCGGTGGTGCAGTTACTCCGTGTAATCTTTACATTTTAGTAATTGCCATAGGTACAGCATTACATGAAAATTACTTGTTAATTAAACAAGAAACATCTAATACCTCCACTCTGAATCTACTCTAAAACACGTGTCCTTGCCAGAATTAGGTCTGTTTGTTGACCAACAAGGTTTCATGATGTATATCTATGTAAACAGCTGTCTCTAGCAGGAAATGTGGGCAGTTCATCAAAAATTTAGATGGCACGCAGTTGTATCACAGTTGGAGCCACACTAAGATGTTTTTGTCATGCAGGTGTGCATGCTGTAATCTGTACATATGGGAGGGAAAATGAAAATTTATTATCCATGCACACAACACACAGACTGCACAGCTGGTGTGAAACTCATCTAAGAGGCTGGACAGAGGCTCTTTGGCTAAAATGATCTTAAAGTATTAAGATCAATGTCATAAGCTTTGTGGTGGCATTGTTCTCTTGGCTACTTTGTCTTAGGGAGTTAGATAAAAAGATGTCTACTTAAGAAACTTTCAACATAAACTTCAACTATCTGCTGGACTTTTGGACACTGTTTGTGATTTAGTAAAAGGTAATTTCAAACATGCACTGTGAGATTCATTTCTAGGCGCAGCCATGGTATTGAGGGGATCCGTTTTGGTGGCCTTAGGATCACTTGTCTGTTCTTTGCAGATGATGGTCCAATTGGCTTCATCAAGTCGTGATCTACAGCTTTCACTGGAGCAGTTTGCAGCCGAATGCGACGCAGCCGGGATGAGGATCAGTTCCTCCAAATCCGAGGCCATGGTCTTGAGCCGGAAAAGGGTAGAGTGCCCTCTCCGGGTCGGGGAGTAGGTCCTGCCTCAAGTGGAGGAGTTCAAGTATCTTGGGGTCTTGTTCACGAATGAGGGAAAAATGGAGCGTGAGATCAATAGGCGGATAGGTGCAGCGTATGCAGTGAAGCGGGCACTGTACCGGTCTGTTTTGGTGAATAGAGAGCTGAGTCAAAAGGCGAAGTTCTCAATTTACCGGTTGGTCTACGTTCCTACCCTCATCTATGGTCATGAGCTTTGGGTTGTGACCGAAAGATCGAGATTCACGGATACAAGCAGCCAAAATGAGTTTTCTCCGCAGGGTGTCTGGGCTCTCCCTTAGAAATAGGGTGAGAAGCTCGATCATCCGGGAGGGACTCAGAGTAGAGCCTCTGCTTCTCCACATCGAGAGGAGACAGTTGAGGTGGCTTGGGCATCTGTTTAGGATGCCTCCTGGACGCCTCCCTGGTGAGGTGTTCCGGGCACGTCCCACCGGGAGGAGACCCAGAGGAAGACCCAGGACACGTTGGAGGGACTATGTTTCTTGGCTGGCCTGGGAACGCCTCGGGATCCCCCCAGAGGAGCTGGACCAAGTGGCTAGGGAGAGGGAAGTCTGGGCCTCCGTACTTTGGCTGCTACCCCCGCAACCTGACCCCGGATAAGCGGAAGAAAATGGATGGATGGACTGTGAGTTTATACCTATTAATATAGAGATGCACCGATTCAATATTAGTATCGGCATCGGTTCCGATATATATTAAAAAAAATTATCGGGTATAAGAGATGCACCGATATCGTATCTGTATCGGTACAGATATGGAAAAACATCTTGATCGGGTATTGGTGACACTGTGACCGATCCATAAGGACAGGAGCTTATTGCTGTTTATTTTAAACATCTGCCAACCAAGCTAGTGACCTATTGTTTTTTCCTCTTATTTCAGCTCCTTTATTATTTATTTTACATTATATTTAGAATTCCTGAACCATTTGATTGGTTTGTTGAAGTTTTATTTTTTCATGTTTGACCAAAGTTGTCAACCTATTATTTTTGTCAGTTTCAGTATCTTTACTATTGTTTATTTTACATTGACTGTTATACTCATAATTGCACTGACTGAACAAATTTAAGTTGTGTTGTTTTTACATGTTTGACTGAGCTTGTGAAGCTCGGTCAAACATGTGTGTTTAAATGTGCTGTACTGGTGCAGCTTTTTGTAATTCAGTACATTTATGTCTGCGTTTAAAAAACAAATGTTTTAAGTCAATTCGGTATTGGATCGGTATCTGCCGATACTGAAGCACAGGTATCGGTATCGGAAGTAAAAATTGTGGCTCAGTGCATCCCTAATACAGTTTGTAAGTACAATTTTCAGCTTGGGTAAAACCTACATTTTGCCACAGTCAGTCAAATCATTGTCATGGTAGAAACATTATTTTTAAAACAGCAGCACATGTCATCTGCTGATTTAAAATCCAACAGATAAACCTGAATCAGCAACAGTTGTTTGGAAAAATGCTTGAACAAGACTTGCTTCTTCAGAAGTTTTAAGGATTCAAAAGGGTAAAAAAAAGGGCAGAGATGTTTTGGCCTCAAGTCTGTTCTTGAGTAGTGTGCTCGGCAAGGATTCCCACACATATGATATCGTGGGGGTGAGTTCATGTTTACTGTCAGGGTTTCATGCTTTCATGCTGAGTTTTCCATGTTTTGCCAGACTTCATGCTCAGTGAACTTTATGCAGCATTGCCTGGGATCTGCCTAGCCAAGTACATAAACTGACAGCCTTTGATGCATCAGTGCCTAAACCCACTCTTATTCTCTTTTTGTATTCTTGTGCCTTCATGGTTTTATATTCCTTTAGATGTGGGGATCCCACCTCTTTTCCCCTGCTTTCAAAGAATGACTCAAATAATTCATCAATGATTGTCGCTTGTCTCCAAGCTTGGGAGGTGGGTGTTGCAAGCCAGCAAATTTTAAAGCGTGGGCTGCTTCTTCGCAGGAAGAATCACTGTAGTAAACAACAATGCAAGTTGTTAAGAAAATAAGCCTCATCAAATTGTATTTATTGTCTTGTGTTGTGTGTGCCCCACAGGCATTAAAACTGCTTTTGCACTTGTCAAATCATGTCGTATGTGATTCATTAATTCAATAGGTACAAATTTTCAATAATGTACATGTGTAAGAAAATGTTTTCAAATAATTTTACTCACATTTTGATTTAGACTTTCTATTCTCTTCTGCCTCATCATTTCTCTGAACACCAAATGTTAATTCCTACAGCTGTGGTGGGAATTTCTAATTGACAGCCATATGTTTTGTTTTTTCGCTTAGATTTTTTTAAATCATTGGTGCGGTCTGTTGTGTATTTTCTATAAATTGACCATGTGCTTTGTTGGACAAACACATCTGTCATTTAGAGATGCATATAAGCACGCACACACAGTTTTTCTTTTTAAACGATTGATCTCACAAGTAACAAATTTATGTAATCTGTGTCTTTTCAGTGTGATCCAGGACAAGTTTTGTGGCATCATCAACATTTGTGTTGAAGCTTTGAATGATGTGATGACAGAGGAATCAGAAACAGGCACCTACAAAGAGTAAGTATTACTTCCCCCCCAATCTTTCATGAGAGAACAAATTAAATTGTGTTTTTGTATTTGTCAAAGAATTTAAGTGTTGGCGTCATTACCAATCTAAATGGAAAGTCTTGTTTTTTTTTGTTTTTTTTTATCAGGATTTTAATTTACATCTATGCATTTACACATAATGAGGAATTTCCATTGATTGTATCCTCTAATTTGCATATAACAACACAAAGCTACATTTTATTTCATAAATACAAGCAATATTTCAAAAGCTGCCCACTGCACCACCTGGTGGTGGATGGGTTAAATGCAGAGACTAATTTCGCCATTGTATGGAAACATACAGTGCTGACATTGTGATGACATTATTATTATTATTATTAATACATTTTGGAAAACAAATTAGCATTTATTAGGGGTGTTAATCACCAGCTTTACCATGATACAATATTATATTGATTTGCTTGAATGACGTTACGATTTTTCTCGATATCGCAAAGTCTGTCCCGATACGATTTCGATTCTTTTCTATTCACAAGTCTGTGATTGATATATTACGATATCAAATACCCATCTCATTTGCATATAAATAAATTTACAAAAACAATTCAAATATGATTTAACCATTTTATTTCTGTTATTACAGGCACCAGGCATTTAAATAAAATAAAAAAAAATTTATTAATCATTGAAAAAATCAAAATAAATGACTTATTAATTATAATCTCACATTTCTCACGTTTAAGTGCATTTTTAAACCAGTTAACTTAAAAGTGCCCTGATTACCTTTCAATTATAAAGAAACAAAAATAGATGTTGAGCTTACATAACATGGCTGTCAATGTGTTTCTTTTTCAGGTGAACGGCCAAATTTGTTGTGATTCCTGAGTATTTTAACTCACACTGGCACCTGTTGCATACGGCACGAGTTTTGTCTGTTGAGCCGTCCTGTTGGAAACTAAAATATTTCCATAGTGTTGATTTAAATCCAGCAGGAGAGTGAATTTCATTATCCTTGTTTTCTGCCTCGTCAGCCATGTTGCTGAGGCGGCCGCAGAGCGCAGCCACACACGGAAATGGTGACACAGACGTGCCTTGGGGATAAAAAAAAGGCATATTTTAAAGATGACGATATGAATCGATGTTTTAGTTTTGCCACAACATAATTGACTCATCAATCATTTAATCGATATTTTGATGTAAATCGATGTATCGTTACACCCCTAGGATTTATTTTACTGGATAATCCACCTCAGTGCAGTAAAAGTACAAAAAAAGTTTCCTTTTTTATTAGTGCATTATAAGTGCTGAGATCGAGAAAATTTTTTTTTTTTTTCATATATTAACTAAAAAGTGGAACTTTCCTAATTGTGATTTACATCACCAATCTGACTCTTCATTGCATCAGTAATACAGTCACCACTAAAATCTGCATGACTTCTGGTGAAGCTGATTTTACACACTGTGAGTCTCTATCTATGTCTCGCTTTCCATCCATCCATCCATTATCTTTTACCCGCTTCTTCCATTTTGGGTCACGGGGGTTGCCGGTGCCCATGTCCAGCAATCACTGTGCGAGGGGCGGGGTACACACTGGACAGATCGCAAGTCCATCACAGGGACACATAGAGACAAACGAGACAAACAACCATTCACTCTCTCACTCACACCTAGGGACGTCTATGCATCAATCAGCCTAACATGCATGTTTTTGGTCTGTGGGAGGAAACCGGAGTACCCGGAGAAAACCTACATATGCACAGCGAGAATATGCAAACTCCACCCAGAAAGGCCCCTGCACCGGGATTTGAACCAGGGACCTGCTTGCTGAGAGGCAGCAGCTCTACCAGATGTGCCACTGTGCTGGTGACTCACTTTCCAATAGGTTTATAATTTAATCCACTACCTGTCTATACCTTCCTCTGCTAGATCAAAAATCACAGTAACATGACCATAACATAACACCCACAGTTAAATGTGAGAGAGATATGTGGTGAAAGTGTTATTGTTTGGCTTTATGACAGCTGAAAAGGTTTACTGTGACTGTGCAACTTTATTGCTCCCATGGGACTGAGAAATCCTTTTATCTGGACTACAAACTCTTGATTTTAATGTTAGATATAATTTGATTTGTTCACATCACAAGGCATCTTAAGAGTTGAGAAATTTCCACTGGCAAAAATGGAAAGATATCTTTATGTATAAAAAACAATTCCAGTTAAGCCTGCCAATCTAAAGGAAGTTATGACTTTTTAGGCAAGACAAACACCAGCTTATTATGTTATGTAATAGTGACAACAGCCCTAACTTTGTCTCTGCCCCCATTTACCCCACTCCTCTCTCTTCTGCCTCCTTGTTTCAGTGACATTTTTTTAAACATACTGAACAAAGACACCCACTGCTGCAGCTGTGAAGCATGATGGAGGGAGCATCATCATGATTTATGACTACATTTCTTTCACTAAAAGAATATCAATATACAAGTTTTTGTTACATAATTTTGATGTTTATGATGTTGAACTTAACAATAGCTTAGATGGTAGAGCTGTTGCCTCTCAATGAGAAGGTCACCAGTTCAAATCCCAGTCCATGGCCTTTCTGGGTGGAGTTTGCATGTGGGGTTTTCTCAGGGTACTCCAGTTTCCTCCCACAGATCAAAAATATGCATGTTAGGCTGATTGGTAACTAAATTGTCCCAAGGTGTGAGTGAGAGAGTGAATGGTTGTTTGTCTCGTTTGTCTCTGTGTGGTCCTGTGATGGACTTGAGACCTGTTCAGGGTATACACCGCCTTTCTCACAGTGACTGCTGGACACAGTGACCCCTGTGACGTGAAAAGAAAGAAGAACACAACTGAGACAACTTTGTTGTAAAGTGGCGCTATATAAATAAACTGAATTGAATTTAAATTAAAAGATAACAAATGGATGGGTGGGTGGTTGGATGGATGGATAGATGGTTGGATGGATGGAAGGATGGAAGGAAGGAAAGAACGTAACAATAGACTCTAGAGCAAAAGTGACTTGTGTAGTTAAAATGCTTTGAATTATCAGTAAGACAAAAATGTTACACATATGCAGTTTATTTATCATTCCACTGAATGATTGAGTGATGCTTTAGGACAGCGGTCCCCAACCTTCTTTGCGCCACGGACCAGTTTAATGTCAGACAATATTTTTACTGACTGGCCTTTAGGGTGTAGCAGATAAATACAACAAAATAAAATGATACGACCGGCGTAAAAACTGGTATTTACACTCTCTGGTCATAATAGTAAAGGTTAAACGTGCTTTCAAAATAAGATACACCACAATAACAAATATAAAGGGCATGAAAATTACAACTCACCATAACGCTAAATCGGTGGAAGCCCTGAGATTGTTTGCAACGAGACGGTCCCATCTAGAGGTAATGGGAGACAGTGACACCCGAAGTGTGTTGCTTATGTTCAGTCTGCTCCGTAATTTTGTTTTGGTTTCTGTCACTGCAGAAAACCCTGTTTCACACTTGTAGGATGTCAGAAATGGCAAAAGGGTTTTCAGTGCTTTTGTGGCGATGTCAGGGTTTTCTACCATGACTTTAATCCAGAACACCGGCAGAGTTGTTGTCTCAAACATACTTTTAAGGCTGCCGTCATTTGCGATCTCTAGCAGTTGATCTTCTTCTTGTATTCTTCTTCTTGTATAGACATGCTAGATTCCCCTGGTTTGTTGGTGAATTTGTCACAGATCCATTCCTTGGCAGTTTGTGCACAAAGAAACTTTCCGAAGGCATTTGCTTTTTGTCCATTTTGCTAGCTTGAGGGTTTCAAACAATGCGGTAATATATTATGTGTTACCGCCGCAAGCAGTCCCTTTAAGAAGGTAGTCATGTGACCGAGGCAAGCATCGACATATATGTACATCAACGCCTCATGGAGCTCTGAATCGTACATTGACTTTGCCGCCATATTGAATGTGGCACGTTAGTGCTCTTCAGGGTTTGTTTATTATAGACACAGATTAAATGTTAAATATAGATATTTCTATATTTATCATCACAGTAATTTTTATACACGTTAGTAGTTGTAAACATTCAAACAAATAAACATGTTTGTTTAGTGCTTACCTATAACCTAATCATTTAAGGAGTAATCATTTTTAATAATTGCCTTAAAAGTTACAAATGTTGTTTTTGGTGCCTGTTTGTTTTCCAAATCTATTAGTGTGTGTAAATGGCATCAACTTAAAACACTTTATGGTCACTTTATGGTATCCTGATGCATGCTCAATAATCCAGGTAGAAAAATCCAAAAAAGTTCAATCTGGTCCTCTGGACATTAAAAAAAAAACAACAAAAAAAACAACAAAGCAAAAAAATCTAGAAACGTTTCGTCTCTCATCCAAGAGACTTCCTCAGTCTGAGGTGCTGTTTTCAGCTCAGTCTCTTAAATAGCACCTTCTCAGAGTGGATCAACCAGTTTGCTGCTGACAACCAAAACCAGCTGATCACATGCTCAAGAAGGACCATCAGCCTAACAATGGGTCATTAGCACACTGATGGCTGTTTACTACTCACTCTGGGTCACTTTATGGTGCTTTATTAAGTTCAGTCCATTTCCTTGTATTTGTTGACCGGCAGATCTGCCACATCCAATATGGCGGACGCTCTGATGTACCGCTGCAGTGGGCCAGCCCGCTCAACAAGGCATCTATGTATATATGTTTATGGAGGCAAGCATCTTAACCTGAGTCAAGAGTGAGTCATAGACAGATGTGGCAGAGAGAATCTGGTAATTTTCCAAAATAAAACAGTTCAGAATCAGATACTAAATAAAACAGAAATAATGTAAGTTATGTATTCTTTCTGTGCGGCCTGGTACCAACTGACCCACGGACCGGTGCCGGTCCGCGGCCTGGAGGTTGGAGACTGCTGCTTTAGGACAAAACCCCAAAGCATACAGGTTAATTAACAAATCCAAAGAGGGCTCATAATTGAAGAATATAATAGAACTATAACCTTGATGAGATTGGGTCAAGTAGAAAAATGAAAATAAGTGTGTTTTTGCTTGCCACTGTTTTGTATAATTTTGCTGTGCTGACATTCTTACTTCAGAGAGTTAGTCAGTGTTTAAATATTGATAAGACAGTTTTAAAGAAATGTTCATCCTTGTAATATTTCATCTCAGTTTTATTACTGGTACATAAATCAGTGACATATTTTGTCAAGTTGCAGTCTAAAGTTGATTTATTTAGGCTATTTGAATGTCATTAGTTAGAATTCAGTTTCTGATCACGCATTATCACTTGCTACATTTCAAAGTCACAAAATGTGACATTCAAACTCCCCATTGCCCCTACACCTTATTTGTGCTCACAGTAAGGGTTTTAGTAATGAGCACAAAGAAAATAAAACTTCACAGCGCACAAAGGTTTTTTACTCGCAATTCTCTCCGCATGTAGATGAAGCCATATGAATAGCAGCTATAGCTGTCTATTAAAATTGCCAGAGGCTTCAGCCTTCTTTGTGTGCCTGTGTTTGCACATGCTGCTTGTTTTGAGATTGTGTCCTACTGTGCAGGTCTATGGGTGGTTATTAATATTGAGTTGAATATTATTGTGTTTGCAGCTGCATGCTGATGAGCCATTTTGAAGAACCCAAGCTAAGTGAAGAAGAGGAGCCACCAACTGAGCAGGATAAGAGGAAGAAACTTGTGAGTCAAACTTACAAACTGCACACAAGTAACTTGGCAAACATTGAACTATTTCCATTTGTGTAAAATTTTAAACTTAAGAATGTGTTTGTGTCATCAGTTAGTTGTTTTTTTGTGTTTTTTCTTTTAGGTGCATTTGTCTTTGCACAGAAAATACTTTATAATTTTATAATTTTTTTTGACTCTGGCACATTAACAAGAATAAAACTATGCAGAGAAAAGAAACTGCTCACTTCGTTTAACATTGGAACAAGTAGAAAATACTTGCTGTTTCATAACATGAACACTTAACACAGTTTCATGTTCATCACACTGTTCAAGTGTTTTTAAGTGCAGGTTTTGAATATTTGTGTCATAGAAAAAAATAGCAGATATTTTTTGCCTGTCGGTTAGAGTTGCAATTTCTAACCCAAGCCCATCCCCAACCAGACCCAACCCGAAATTTGGGCCTGGTCGAGCCAAAATTATGTGCTTGATGGGCAGGCCGGGGCGGGCTCGGGCTTTTGTTACGGTTTTACGAATCATATAATGCAAAGAAAACTAAATAAGATTGCACAATATAAAATTGTGTTAATCTACTTTTATATTATGCATTCTTATTTAGTTTGTGTTAATTGTGTTAATCTACTTATAAAGGAGGAGGCTGTAAATTTACTATGTTGAGGGTAAAAAAGAAATAAAATAGAGTGCAGAAGTTAATCGGACTGTGAAAAGAGAGAGTAGCGTTGGCACATTGCGCAACAATTGTGCATGTAGCCCCGCCCGCCCTGCTTTTATCACACATCTGAGGATTTGCAATTGATCCATAACAAGCAACATAATGGAGCTGGAAAGTATTAAACAAAAGCTAAAAACGGGAGAACTCACTTTGCAAAGCCAGTACAGTGAAACCTGCTGTTGTGTGTCAGGTGCACGCTCCGGTCTGACCAGCCAGTTGAAACAGGCAAAAAAAAGTCTTAAGCTTCAGATAGACAACAGGATCATCAGCCGCGCACATCCGCTGATCGGCCGGTTGAAAGAGGAAAAAAAAAGTCTCATTAAACTTCAGATGGATCACCGGATCATCGGCCGCGCGCGTCCCGCTCCGCACCCTTCTGTCATCTGCGGTGAAGGAAACTGAAGCATCTGAAGCTACAAAAGCTGAAGAGAGCAGCGCATTCAATTAAAATAACCTTGCTCTATATTTTTCCAAATAATTTTGTTTTAAAAATATTTTTGTTCATCTGCATAATAGCTTATCTTTAGAGTTGATTTTTTTTAGGCTATTCGTTTTGTATGTTAATATCCATTTGGTGACTTGTTCATAAACAAGAAATCTTATCCCCCTTTCTTTAAAATATGTTTTAAAACTCATGTCAAACTTGCAAAAGCAGTAAAAGCTTTTTTTTTTTTCTTTTTTTTTTCGGGTTCGGGCGGGCTTCTAGTTACAGTTAGTTGGTCAGGTCAGGCTCGGCCGAAATGCCTACGGGCTCAGGCCGGGTCGGTTCAAATTTTTTAGACCTGAATGCAACTCTACTGTACACATTTAAGATTAGTAGGAGATACTGAACTACAGAGATGGGTCTGTGTGAGGATGCATTCCTGTGCTGTTCTCTCCCTCTCTGTAAGATCAGAAATTGTAACTCTCCCCTTCAGTGTAAAAATACAGTTTAATTATAATGGTTTGTGTAAGTGTTCCTTCTCCAAATGAATGCTTCAGCAATACAAAAGGTATATAAAAATTGTATTCATTGCTGTTTGAATGAGGAAATACAGCTGTACTTGTTTTTTTCGTGTAGCGTTTTTCTTTGTGCAAGTGTGTGTGTATTTGCTAGGTGCTACCCCAGTGCACTTATCACCTCAGCCCAGACTCTGACTTTTTGCTTCGGGGAACAGAAAAGCGTAGACTTAAAGTCGCACCCTGCGTCTTAATGTGTGCACGTCTGTGTGCTTGCAGACGTGGATGAATGTATATGTGAGAGCAACGGCTGTGCACACATGATACAGTTTTTTTTTTAGTTTGAAGAGAAAGTAAATGAGAAAGGGGATCTGTGACATTTTAGAAAATTTATTGACTCCATTTGAGCTTTTTCAGGGCTTCTTACTATGTCAGGTGTGTGCACGACTGTGAAAGGATGCACATTTCATCATCTGCAGGCTTTACTTGTGCTGTTTTGAAAGCACAGTAACTAAGGACAGGATTGTTTGAGCAAAACAAAATTGAAGCTATCACCTTAATATTATAAGTATGTTTTAGATGTACTTGAACTCAGCGGCAAGAAATTCAGTCCTCACAGCTTGTGATCATCTTCAAGGTTAGCTGGAGGGTTTTGCTGACAGTCAACTGGCTGGTAAAGGCCAAAGCTATGGAAAATGCTATGTGGAACATGACATGTAACCCCTATGAATTACAAATCTGGAAGTTGTAGAGGTGATGAAACTAACACAAACGATTTAGTGGGATCATCTCTTTAGACTGTAGTAATTCTATGAGCAAAGTTAGGGACAAAGGCTGGCTGCTGCAGTTCATCATTCATGTCAGGTGTGTGGATAGTTGCATGTTTATTGACTGAGGTTTTGTATTAAAATGTTCCTATTTGTGTGCAGTGCAGAATAATTGTTCAAGCATGCACCTAATCACTGAAATCAGCTAAAACTAAAAGTTTTATTAGGTTATTTCTGAAATCAGTGTGTGTCATTTGCAGTTAACTAATTACATTTCAGTAGTCCTATGGGGCACCTAAAACAAGAATAGTTTTCTCACTGTTTAGAAAATATTAATTCTAGAAATTCTGTTTTTGTCTGTTTTCAAAGGTGGTTCTAAGCACAACAAAAATTATGGACAGTTTTACTGAAACAATTTCATGGGTTTTCCATTTGGAGGGTAAAATAATGAAAATATGATAGGTCATGCAATGCAGTGGTATTTACTTTAACTTTTTATCTTAATGAATATATTTTAATTATTTAGTCAGTCACAGTGACATAATGCTTGATAACCAAAAACAAAATGAACAACAAAAAAAACTTTAAACTACTTAAAAAACTGGTGCCAAATAATGAAAACGCTAAATAATAATAGTAATCTCTTCCAGAAAGAAACAGCCCTTTTTGATCTCTGGAGGCTAAATTACTATTTGCGTTCCAGTGCATTTGCAGTAATGCTGTTAAAATGACAAATGTCAACAATTAAAGCACTGTAGTTATCATTACTGCTTTATTCCTGTAAAACATCATGCTGAGAATTTAAATGGTTAAAGCTTTTAAAAATTGTTACAATCATGTTCAGGATCATGTTGCGCCTGTTAAAACCCAACAAATCAAAACTCAGAGCAGAACCTTGGCTGAGTGACGTCACCAAGGCCGTTAGGCAGCAATGTAGGAGGGCGCTCCGCAAGTGGAGGAAAGACAGGCTGGTCTCTTTTCAAATACTTAGAGAGTTGGCGCCGTTATCAGAAAGCAGTAAAAGCTGCTAAATCCAAATACTTCTCTGATATAATTACCTCAAACTCTCGCAACCCACATGTCCTCTTCTCCACCCTAAACTCTGTTCTCCACTTTACTGAACCATCACCTCTGGAAGCCTCGACTGAGCTGTGCGACAATTTCTACATTTCTTTTTGGAAAAAATTGCGACCACCCTGGCTCTCATTTTCCCTCAAACTCATGACCCATCCATTCCACCTCAATCTGTAGCTCCTTTTGACCATTTTGAACCCATAACTCTATCTTCTCTAGAGCAGGTCATGTGCAGCTTGAAACCTTCTGGTTCCCCCTTTGATGTGGTCCCCCCATGACTACTAAAGGAGGTGTTTCCTACTCTAGGTCCATCCATTCTTACTATAGTAAACAGTAGTTTATCCATTGGCGTGGTGCCAAAATCCTTTAAACATGCTGCTGTCCAGCCTCTCCTGAAAAAACCAAACCTTGACCCCTCAGTCGTTTCCAATTTCCGGCCTGTCTCCAAACTCCCATTTGTTTCTAAACTACTGGAGAAAATAGTCGAGTCCCAGTTGAAGTGCTTCCTGGAGTGTCACGCCATCTTAGAGCTATTCCAATCAGGCTTTAAACCTCTCCACAGCACTGAAACTGCCCTGCTGAAGGTCTTTAATGACATTTTCTTAACCACTGATACCGGTGATTCTGTGCTGCTTGTCCTATTGGACCTCACAGCCGCCTTTGACTCCATCGACCATGAGATCCTCATTGCTAGGTTGGAGCAGTGGGTGGGCATCACAGGATCAGCCCTCAGTTGGTTCAAAACTTATCTCACTGACAGATCATTTTGTGTCTCCATCAAGGATTTTAGTTCTGCAGCGGCAGAGCTTAAATGGGGGGTTCCGCAGGGGTCCATCCTGGGTCCCCCCCTATTCTCTTTATACCTGCTGCCGCTTGGTGCTATTTTCCGGAAACACAACATGCCCTTCCACTTCTACGCCGATGACTGTCAAATTTACTTCCCACTAAGACACAATGGCACATGCTCTATTCAACCGCTGTTCAACTGTCCGGCTGACATCAGGGACTGGATGGCTTTAAACTTCTTAAGTTTCAATGAAAAGAACTCTGAAGTCATGTTGTTCCCTCCCAATGACACAATCACAAACCACTGCATGGACCTCTCCGCTCTAACCCTGTCAGAAAAACAGAGTCACTAATCTGGGAGTGATAATGGACCCTTCCCTGAAACTTAACAATCATGTAAACATGATTGTTAAATCATGTTTCTTCCAACTGAGGCGGCTGTCTAAACTGAAGCCCATATTGTTCAAAAATAATCTGGAGACAGTAATACGTGCATTCATTACATCTAGGCTTGATTACTGCAATTCACTCCTGTTTGGTATTAGTCAAACCTCCATTGCACGACTACAACTGGTCCAGAATGCAGCAGCCCTATTTTTAACCAGTACAGGCAAAAGAGAGCACGTTACACCAGTTTTGGCCTCACTGCACTGGTTACCGGTTCACTTTCGAATCCAGTTCAAAATACTCATGTATGTCTACAAATCACTGAACAG